ACAGCAGACCAAGACAACCACATACAGCAGCAGACAGACTAATTCTACAACAGCAGCATACACCATCTACAGCAAACAGACCAGCATACACCAGGAACACCTGAACTACCCCTTATACACAAATAACTTCCAAACACTACTTCAGTAGCAACAATAGTTCCTCAACCAAAGGCAACAACTGAACTACCCTTTACAAGCACCTCTTAATCTGATTTAAATTGCACATAAAGTCATGCACAGAGTACTATAGACCTGCCACACAACACTTGGCCCAAAAAGCTGCCCTTAATTTTACAACTTCCTCCAAATCAGCTAAGTTTACTGACCACCATTGAAAACAATCTCATTCCTTAACTTCCAAACTGACCACAATAAAACCAAAGGCACAATCTTCCAAATACACATTACTTTCTTCTTGAACCTAGCACCAGCCCACCAATGCAGTAGAGCTTCAATCGAACTCGGAATTACCTAACACACATTCCAACAATTCAATATACCATCCCACACTTTCCAAACCAGAGGGCAATGGAGGAGAACATGATTGACCATTTCCTCTTCATTTCTGCAGAAAACATACAAAGTGCTAGCATTGGCAGACAACACCCCAATCCGATAAAGAAAAACTGTTGTTTGAACTCTGCCCCGCCAAGCTAACCAATCAAAAAAGTATAATTTTGGAGGTACAACAACCTGACATAACCATTTGGCAATGTGCAAATCAGGACCCCTAGTTGCTTGTAGCAACACCTAAACTGATGACACTGTGAACTGATTCGATGTGTTCAATTCCCATGACAGATAGTCATCCAATTGCCCACAATTGGTAGGGACATCAATCAACCAGTCATGAAGCCTACGTACCTCCTCTTCCTCCCAAACTCTGAGCTGTCTTCTAAACCGTAAATTCCAATCCCCTGAACTACCCCTTCTTTGCCTATACTGCATAACAGAACCGTCCCTATCTTCTAAGATACAGAATAACCTTGGAAATTCTTTACTGAGCTTGCTATTGTTGCACTATTTATCAGTCCAGAATTTCGTTCTCCCTCCATTCCCAACCTTTACTCTTACATTATTGTCACGACCCAAACCCGCCCCTAAGGGTTTAGCATCGTAACTGGCCAGTAATCCGTGATTACCAAAGGCCTGCTTAACAGTAATAACAATATTACAGAGTAAGGGGTTGGCGGAAGCCAAACAGTAAATAAAAGATGTCTAATGAGCTGTAAAAATCTGAATGGAAAAAGACTTTTATAGACTAGTCCACGTCGTAACCAAACACATATATACATAGCAGATACATATAACATACAGGTTAGGGATCCAATCCCTTCACCATAACTGTACAGTCATAAGTCTAAAATAGTCGATGCAAAACAGAGACAAAATGGTGAATCTAAAGCAGCCCAAAAACAGCCTTGGCTTGAGCAGACTCGGAACCTCGAAGTGAGGCACAACGGTTGGCTTGACAAAACATGAGCTAACTTGACGCTTCTAGCTTCGGTCTGGTGCTTGGCCACCTACATACATATATAAACTGTGAGTTAAAACCCAGTGAATAACAAATGCGTAAAGGGGTCAAGAATGAATGGCCTTTCAGTAATTAAAACAGTCATTTGCATCAGTAGATCAGTTATTCAACCAGTGGCTTATATTTCATGCCATATCAGTCAATTAGAAATCATAACAGTCATACGTGGTACATCTGATAGCAAACAGTACAGTAGGTCTTAATAGATTGAACAGTCAATTGATGGCCATCAAATAGTAAACAGTAGTAGTCCCAAATATTGGAACTGACAGAGATCTCTGTAACAGTAGCAGTAACAGTAACAATACAGTAGCAGTAACAGTAACAGTAAGTTACTATGGATGCCACGAGTACAGTTCATAAAATAAGACAAACATTCATTCGGTATACAATGTCACTTTAGAAAACAGTACGGTTGATCGTTCAGAAAATAATTATAATTGAACATATCTTTACAACATTGTTACTCACAGATTACTGGGCTATAGGTGGGCTAATCAGCGTCCTCGGGTGCCAACCCTACACAGTTGCAGAATGAACACACACTAGATTACACACTCGGGATTAATAACTTAGCCCCTTAACTTGACTTGGTGTGGTTCTATAACATTATCCTCATTAAGATGCCTTAAACATGGCCTAGGAATGCCTAGGATGGAATGAGGATTTATATTTCATGCCATATCAGTCAATTAGAAATCATAACAGTCATACGTGGTACATCTGATAGCAAACAGTACAGTAGGTCTTAATAGATCGAACAGGCAATTGATGGCCATCAAACAGTAAACAGTAGTAGTCCCAAATATTGGAACTGACAGAGATCTCTGTAACAGTAGCAGTAACAGTAACAGTACAGTAGCAGTAATAGTAACAGTAAGTTACTATGGATACCACAAGTACAGTTCATAAAATAAGACAAACATTCATTCGGTATACAATGCCACTTTAGAAAACAGTACGGTCGATGGTTCAGAAAATAATTATAATTGAACATATCTTTACAACATTGTTACTCACAGATTACTGGGCTATAGGTGGGCTAATCAGCATCCTCGGGTGCCAACCCTACACAGTTACAGAACGACCACACACCAAGTTACACACTTGGGATTAATAACTTAGCCCCTTAACTTAACTTGGTGTGGTTCTATAACATTATCCTCATTAAGATGCCTTAAACATGGCCTAGGAATGCCTAGGATGGAATGAGGATGCAAAAGTGTACTTTAAAACACTTTTCAAAATTTGCTGAAAACTACGGTCTTGCTCGAGCGTGGCTTTCTCTGCTCACGCTAGAGCGAGCTTACCAAAATAGAGAGGTCGCTCGAGCGTAGACTCCCTCGCTTGAGCGGTCTGTAAAAATGCAAAAAATACTAGTTGCTAAAATTCTCCGCTCGATGCCCGCTCGAGTGTGAGACACAGTTCTTCGCTCGAGCGTAGGTTTCGTCACTCGAGCGTGCGTCTGCACACGCAAAAACCTGAGAGTTTGCAATTTACGCTCAAGCCAGCATTCCGTCGCTCGAGCGAAGCTCTAAACACAAAGGTGGTCGCTCGAGCGTGGAATCCTTCGCACAAGCATGGAAGCCAAAATCTGGGTTTTCCAGATTTGCTTCCAAAGCTCAAATCAAGAATCAACACATGCCAAAACTCATCCTTTTGGGCCAATTTTCTAGAAAACCCTTAAAAATCCATACTACAACATGTTTTGAAGATCATTTTATAAAATCAAAGCCCAAAAGCATGTCAGTTGAACACAAATTCAACCCAAAATTCAAGAACATGATGTAAATATGCCATGCATGTGTTTACTTGAATTCAAAGCTTCTAACACATGATCAAATGAGCCATTCTCTCCAAAAACATGATGAATTCTTAGATTACAACATGCATGGAAGAATTTCATGCAAAACAACTTCAAAATTCCAAAATATGGACATGCATGCATGAATTTGCTCTCAAATCAACACTTTGAGCTAATTCTTGACTCCAATCACCAATTAAGCATAATTTCAATGAAATCTTCATGAACAATGCATGTAACAACTTAAATTCATAATCAAGAGAATGGATTTCCTACCTTAAGTCTTGAATTCCAAGTATGGTAGCTTAAACATGCAATTCTCCTTCAATTCCTCTAAATTTCAAGCCAAACTCTAGATGAACTCAATTTCCCCTAGTCTCCCTCTCTCTCACGGTTTGCCAAAGAGATGGATGAGGAATGGTGCCAAACATGTAAGTAATGGGAATTAAACAATAGTTTTTGAGGGAGCCCACTTAAGGGCAATTATGTAGATAACTTAAACTCAATTAATTTAGCATTATTTAATCTAATTAAATCATTCCAAATAGAATTTTAATTAAACCTACTTTAAAATCATATAAATCCTAATTAGCATATAACACTAATCAATTTTTGAATCGGTCGCCGATAAGGCTTTCAATTCGTAGTTCGAAATTAAAACATGAACAGATCATTCAGTAACAAACAGATAGAAATACATTCTAAGCAACATCCTCACACAAACAATTTAGGATTGCATCTTAATCAATTACTTATCATGCTTAATCACAATTTAATGCTAATCAGAGGTGATGGTTGTCACAATTATCAAAAACTGAGGATTAACTTGGGCAAGATTAAGGATCCCCTGCCACATTAGAGACACTCTCCTAACATCGCCCAACTCTGGCCACCACCCACCACCAACCCTCCCATAAATACTACAAATCACTGCCTTCCACATTGCCTTATCCTCTGTGCCAAATCTTCACCACCACTTTAACAGTAAACAAACATTCATATCTGCTATGTTTCTAACCCCTAAACCACCTTGCCTTTGAGACTTTATGAGCTCCTGTCATTTTACTAAATGAATTTTCTTCCTCAACTAACCACACCTTTAGGCATTTGGAAGGCTGAAATATAATATAATGGTAAGCAGGACATAACTGACTTAATCAATGTTAATCTCCCTGCAAAAGACAACAACTTTCTCTTCCAAAGAGACAACTTCTTCCGCACTTTGTCAACCACTGGCTGCCAAGTTGACTTCATTTTGGGATTAGCTCCTAAAGGAAGACCTAAATATACCATTGGCAACTTCTGATTTTTGCAATTCAACACAACACTAAAATTATCTATCTCACTGTCCGAAAACACCCACCACACAGACAATGCTCTTGTGGAAATTGATCTTGAGATCCGACATTACTTCAAAACACCTTAACGGAAAACAATTCCATTGCCTCAGCTTCGTAGAAAATAATTGTATCATCTGGAAATTGTAGATGTGAGATGCTTATGTTAGTAAATCCCACTGAAGCGCCCTTAAACAACCTCAACTGTTTAGCTCGACTCAAAAGCAAATTAAGACCCTCAACCACAATATTATATAAGAATGGTGAGAGTGGATCACCCTGCCTCAAACCCATTTGTGGTGCAAACTCATCAATGGGTGACCCATTAACCAAAACAGAGATCGGTTAACCACTCCTTAATCCAGCATATCCACTTCTCATCAAATCCAAAATTACATAACATTGAAAACAAAAAATCCCAATTCACAAAGTCATATTCCTTTTCAAAGTCAAGCTTCAGAATCGCACCCTTGTGCTTCAAGCATTTCCACCATTCAATAACTTCATTAGCAATCATGACCACATCTAGTATACATCGACCCCCTATAAACACTGTCTGAGCCTCATTAATCACTGTAGGAATCACCTTTTTCAACCTTCTAGATAAAACCTTGGCCAGAATTTTGTAGATTGAATTCACTAGGCTGATCGGCCTAAAGCCCACCAACTACACAACATTTTCCTTCTTAGGCGCAAGAGCAATGAATGAACTATTTAGACCTTTGGCCAATTTCCCATTTGCATAGAACTCCTACATGAATTGCATAACCTCATCTTTCATGACTTTCCAATTTTTCTGAATACACGCAAGATTGAACCCGTCTGGCCCTAGAGCTTTGTTACCGTCACATTCCGTCACAGTAGCCCATACCTCTTCCACTGTGAACTCAGCTACTAACTCCGCTGAAGCCCCACCCCAACCAATAGTGGTAAAAGGCCCCTCCAATTTTGGTCTACCTCTCCACGCCTCGGAATACAAATCCTTAAAATGCATAAACATCACTTGTCTAACCATTCTCGGTTTCCCAACACTTACCCCATCCACAACAACAAAATCAAACACATTCTTACTCTGCCTCCTACTAGCCATCACATGAAAGAATCGTGTGTTTTTGCCCCCCCTCTTGAGCCCACTTAAGCCTAGATTTCTGACGCCACATCCATTCTAGTCTTCTGCTAAAATTCCAAACTAGAGTCCTCAACTCACATCTTCTAGCATTGACAGTGTCTAGTAGCGGCCCTTCTTCAGCTAACAAATCAATCTCATGTAACTCCTTTTCTGCTGCTTTTAACTGGTGCTCCACATTTCCAAAAACTTCGACATTTCATTTTTTTAAATCCAACTTGAGCTTGGCCAACTTACCTTTCAATTTATACCCTGCCTACCCAATAACAGTTGCCTCTTCCTAAGACTTCTTAACCAATGGCTTAAAATCAGGATGCAGAAACCAAGCATTTAAAAACCTAAATGGTCTAGGACCTTAATCCCTTCCGTTTTCCATGAGCAATAAAGGACAATGATTAGACAAACTTCTTGGCAATCCCCATTGCTTAAACCTAAACACTTCCAACCATTTAGGGTCCAACACAAACCGATCAATCTTACTCCAACGCTTCAGCAGAGTTACACCAAGTGAAACCCCTTCCTAACAGGGGCAAATTGACCAACTCCATCTTCTCTATGAAGACATTAAAATCAATCAAGCCTTTGTCACGCCACAGACAACCCTTTCTCTTACTCAAGAATCTAACTTCATTAAAATCCCCCTTATACACCAAGGGAGCCAAAAAGATGACTTCAACCTAAGTAACACATCCCATAACTGACCTCTTTTCCTACCATCATTTGGTGTATATATGTTGACGATCACATAATGAAATGATTGATTATACGTACCTGACAGTAAGATGAAAGACCTTACACTGCAACACTCCTCAATCTTGAAGACATTTGGATTCTAAACACACAATAGTCCCCCTGCACTACCCTCCGAATCCACTGCCATAAACTGCAAAGATTCTCAGGGCCACAATGACTTCACAAACCTGACATCCAAACTACTCCTTTTAGACTCCTACAATAGAAAAACATCAATCCTCCTCTCACTGACCAACTTCTTAATCTTTGCCCTTTTGTTGTTTCTTCCCAATCCCCTAATATTCCAAGACATCATCTTCATAAGCACGACATACTACACCTAGATCCCCCATCTGATATCAGCTCAAATTGGATCTTTCTTTCCTCCACCCCCAGCCTGTCCCTGATCCTTAACTTCCATCTCTACAATGTGATTAATAATCTCCTCCTCCTTTCCCTGACAGTTCATCCCCAGTAGTTTACCCACATGCACCGTAGCTCGGGCTCCTTAATCAAAAAATTCCTCTAGAAAGCCTCACCCTTCTGAGATGAGGAGAGAGATAGAGAAGTAGCCGCAGCTCGGAAGACAGCTCCGCTCGAAAAGTTACACGAAGTACCCGTGCCCAACCTTCTTCTTCTCTGTACATCCTTCTGTGCAACAGCTCTTCTCCTAACCTTACTACCCTCCACCCTACCTTTTTGAGCCAAACCCTTACCTAATCCAACCTCTGGATCCACTATTTTTAACCTTGGCCCAACAGAAGAATGTAACAAACCCCTTGCATTTGGGTCATCTCCCTGCCCACCCAATCCCCCAATTGGGCCTGATTTAACACCACCTCTAGATTAACACTGGGCCTATCTTTCTCAAACCCACTAATACTTCTTAAAAAGCCCTGTGTAACTATATCCCTATCCACCCTCTGCGATCCACCCAACTCCTCAACCCACGACTCTTCCCCTACTCCCACCTCTTTCTCATTCAAGCAGCCACCCTCAGAGACTTTTCCCACCCCCAACTCAGTCTCATTAATTGTAGATTCAGACATGCCATCGTCGCATATTCCCACACCAGGCAGTGCAGCATTAATATTAGCCACCTCCATGGCACGCTCAACCACCTTTACCAAATCCCTATTTGCCACCTGGCCCTTTGGCATTACCTTAGCACTTGTGTTTGCCACCTCTCTCCTCTTACCTTCTGCAACTACACCGCCATTAATAGAGGACTGAGCTAGCTCAGCAAAGGTGATAGCCTTAACATCATCACTCATCTTACCGCTACCCATACCACTGTAAGGAAACTCCATTGCCTCACACACCCTAACGGGATAACGTCGTCCATTATAGTTCAACTGGATCATCCTATTTATAACTTCCAAAGACTGAGTAATAACTTTAACTTTCCCACACTAGAATGATTTCATTCTACTTTTATCCTCATCAATCTACACTACCTCACCCAAAACACTACCAATCCTTGTAAACGTATGCACACTCCATAAATGAAATGGGACACCAAAGCAAACAATCCAAACACATCTCTCTTGACCCCCAATATTCCCTTGTCTTCCCTCTATGATGGTCTCACACCAATTATTAATCCACATCTTTAGACCGCCAACCCCCTCCTTCAAAGCTTGTTGTGAACTAAATGTCAACACTGCTATCCTACCTCCACCTTCACGAACAATAACATCCTTCAACCCGCATCTACTAATCTCCTCCTTCAAGTCAGAGAATAAGAAGCCAGCTTTTAGCTTAACAAACACGCTCTCATACAACCAACCATTACCTTCTTCTTTAGTTACAACCGTGATCACATCTTTCCTTTGACCCTTCCCTTTAAACACTACCTCAGCAAAGGTTCTCTGGTCCCTCAACGCTACCCTATTTGACATTTGAAGCTTCTCCTTACCTCTCATCGTAGCCACATCCGCGTCCACCCTCCATTGCACCTTTTGCAGAAAGTTATTAACCTTGTCATACTGCACCTTACCCCCATTCTCTACCTTAGTAAACTCAGCATTCTTAACTTTCAATCTTTTATCATCACACCATAGTCCATCCACTTTCTGAATTGCAACACCCGCCACTATTGGACAGTCATAACGAACGAATCTGAATCTTGAGCCCGTAACTTGCCTCCTCTTCATTGGGGTGAAAATGTCCTTTACAACACCAAATTTGCTAAACATAGTGAAAAGATTCTTTGAGCTCATATTTTCGGGGATATCATCAACAAACAACGTTACTAGACCTGACTCCACTATTGGTCCTCCTAGTTTTCTTCCCCATCTTCTCCTCAACACCAATTTCTATCCTCCTTCCATCTTTTTTTTCATCTAAAGATTTAAGATGCTAGACAGCATTAGAAACCTTCATATATATACACTATCTATAATATTAATTGTTCAATCTCTTTGAAGAACTCTACAAATTGTAAGCATATATCTACATTTCTAAATAGCAAAAACATGAAATTACCAAAAAGGTTCATTAATTTAGGTGTTACCTTCATTCAAAAATACAAAACATGAGCATTTAATTGAGTCGGTGGTGACCGTGACACAGTGAGAAATTTCAAGTATCAAGATACAATTTATATATACATTTGTGGAGAAGTAGTTTGGAAATACTCTTCTGATCCTGGGGGACGCTCGTGATCCACCGATGGTCACCTGAAAAAGAATAAACACTCCGGTCGGGGGTGCCGGAATTAGCACTCCGACGGACAAGTCAGTCTCAACTCTTAAGATTACTTATGTTCTAAATTAAGCACAACAATTCTCACCTACCTCTCTCTAATGGATGATCCCATATTTATAGTATTTTCTTTGGGCCTTTAGGCTGGGCCCATCCTTGTTCCGTCACATGTACCTCTACTCAGCGTCAGTTCTATTGGCTGGGATACTGGTTATTTTATTCGGCTCCTTAACTGGCTGGGGTTTATGCCGAATACAGGTTACATTTCGGACCGAACACGCTCGTCCATCCCTATGGATCTAATATAATCCGGCTCCCACAATTACCCCCCAAACACCCTGCTATCATCAGTTAGTCAGCGCATTTGATTTTTAGTCTGAGAAGTCAAAAATTCGGCGGTTAACCCTCTTTCCAATGCGTGTCAGAATGCGCACACGCTTCTTAGTCATCATAACGCTTTCCCGCCCCTTCGCACACTGCTTCCATTTAATATGATTTGAAATTGCCTCTTCGAGTGTATGTCCTGAAAGTTCAAAGGATATCTTGCTCGCCCTCCAGTGCAACTCTATCTCTTCGGGGCTTCTACAACTCGTTTCTCACTCTATCTCCTGTAAGTCTTCTTCTCCTTCATTTTTGATCCTGTTTCTTTATTGGCTTTTAACTTTCTATAATCTTTGGGTTTGGCTTAAAAAGAATGGCAAAACATCTGAAAGAGCTCCTTTCGGCGAATCGAATCTCCAGCTTTCGACGCCATTTTTCCATTCCTGATGACGTCCATCTGTCACTTTTGGCAGACAACATCACTGATATGCAGAGGGAAGATGAGAGCACAATCGTCTTTCCTCTCTTATCAATTGCTGAGGGCGGAGTCCGCTTTCCTCTTCACCTACTTTTGAGGGCCGTTCTTAGATACTAGGGTCTGATCCCCTCCCAGCCCAACATCAATTTCTTTCGCATCATAATGGGGATCATAAAACTAAATCGTCGTCTTAGGACCAATTTAGATATTCCTGCCATTCGGCACTATTACGCCCTTGCCAAATCTACTGGCCGGCTAGGCTACTTTCTTAGAGCTAAGGATACTGATCATCACTTAGTGACTATGCTCGCCAGCTCTGGCAAGCGTGTCGACGACGTGATGGTCGTTGTCCGTGGCAAATGGGAGTTTGGCGAAGGCGAAGATCATTTAGATCTGGTGCCGAGGAAAAAAGGCAAACCAGGTGGCCGATTAGATCACTTTGGCCTTCATAGTTGCATGTATATGTATTCGGAACTATGTTCATCTTATCGTTTTGTTTGTGCAGGCAGCGATTTGAAGAAAGTGTTGGTTTCAAACGACGATGTCGTGCTCGCAGAAATCAAAACCGCACTATAGTTCGTCGGCCATCCAAACCTTCAAAAACAAAGGAGGGCAGCCCACATTCTCTTGCGGTACGAGCCAACTTACACAACGTTCTCGGTGGCAGACAACATTCTGATCGCGTAAGGCGACAATCAACTTGCTGCCCTCATCTTTCCCAGCTTCA